TGTGGGGCCCACTGCAGACCCAGTGAGTCAGAACCTGCAGGTGAAGCCCTGGATTCACAACACTGCAGCCTGGAGGGCTGGAGGCCGAGCAGACCTCCCATGGAAGTCCCAGGAGTGTTCCTTGAACTGAATAGCAAGTGCCCACTTGGTGCTCAGGAGTCAGAAGTTAGGGCACCGACCACGCAGTGTGTGCCTGCAAGGAGGCTCTGCTGCCCCGGGGTTGCTTTCCGGTCTCTGAGGAATGACGGGCATGTTATATGCTAAGTCTTTCCCTCCACTGAGATGTGAAACATCTGGAGTCCCAGGGAATTGCTCTCATGTCATTAGAAGGTTCCCAGCAAATGTCATTCAAGTCTTTTCTGGGCAGTGATTTGCTCTCTTTCTGTGCTCCGTCAATGATTTCTACATCTTTACAGAGAATGCTCCACTCCGATTTGTTCATGTAGCCCACCCCCAGCTTGTCATACTGTGCAATTCTTTATGGCCCAGAAACATATTTCATCATATTTTCAAAATCCTGTACCTAGCCTAGTGCCTAGAACTTAGTACATGAGGCAGGAAGGAAAGAAAGAGGGAAGAAGAGAGGGAGGCAGAAAAGAAGGGAGGGAGGGGGATTGAGTTTTAGGGAATTGAAGGGATACATGTACTTTGGAAGTTGGGGTGTAAGGAGCAAAGGTATGCAGAGAGAGGATACTCAGAAAGAGAAAGGAAGGAAAAATTTTAGGGAGGTAGGGACGCAACAGTTGAGTTACAGATGAAGAGACATACAGGAGTAAAGGTCACTTAATGCTAAGCATGGATCCAACATCCAGACCCGGATCTGACCCCATGCCCTGCGCAGGCATTAACATGTGCCACACGGCACCTATGTAGAAAGTCCCACTTCCTCGTCCACAGGGGAACAAGTCTGGGCCCAGAGAAGTGAAGAGACTTGCCCACAGTTACAGAGCTGGCTGGTAGCAGAACCAGAACCAGAAACTAGAAGGTGTGCATTTAGTGCCGTTGGACTACCTACATTTCCAACCCATCCTTCCTCTTTCAGGTGCCTAGTACTCATTCTGGAGACAGGGAAGGCATGCCAGGAGTGTGTCTTGGGCGGGTGACTCCCTTGGTCCGTGCATTACTCTCTGTGCTGTGCTGTTGGTGGGAGCCAGGACGCAGTGCAGCAGAGCAGCGCCTCATTACTCTTCTCCCATGGCCCTGGGCCGGGACCACGCGGCCGCACAGCCCGAGGCCTTCAGGTGGCGGTGGTGCCAGACGCCTCCAGCCTTGGGAAGGAAGATGTCTGGAATGGATGGATTTGCAATGACATTCTAAGCCCGGGGTTTGCAGAAAATACGAAGACAGTGGGGGCAGGACAGTGTGGCGAGAAGTCACTGAGCTGACAGGGTCATCGAGACAGCAAGCCCATTGAGCCGACGGCTCTATTTCCAGCCGCAGTGGAGCGTGTCTGCTCCGTGCTTAGGGCTTCTAGGGGGAGAAGCTTCTGTCTTTTCCTTTCACACGTTGTAGCAGCGGATTATTGCTGTGAAAGCCAATCACGGGGACATGTGTGAAGATGCTCCTACCTTTTCTGTTTTCCTCCCTGGAAAACTGTCTTCCCTCCTTCATCCCCACACTCCTAAGGCCTGACGTGGCTCCCTGTCATTCCCAGGCCACAGATGCCATTCACTGGCAAAGAAAGGTAGGAAGGGAACAGAAGTTACTGCTATCCCGAGCGCTGCTAATAGATGCAAACTTGGGCAAGTTCTTTTTTCCTCTCAACTTTTTTAACCTCTTTTTCTTCATGTCAAAAATGCATATATTAGAGTGATGACCTCTAAAATCCTTCCAACTTCAAAAATTGAATTCTCTGTTTTGCCATTAGGTTAACTTATAATATTTATTTCTTCCTAAGGGTATTTTAGTTTTCCTGCATAATATAATGGCAAAAAAAGACTTCTCTGAAGCATGAGAGAACAGACCTACCAGATGAAATTAAAGACTTCAGAGGTGAAATTTCTGGGCAAGACATCATATAGGCAATGCATTCCATCCACTCATAAGGCAGCTCTGCCCAGCATGAAAGCGATTTTCATATTGTAGTGGGAAAAAACAAAACAGGAACTGGATCTGAACTATTAGAGATACCCAGTATAGGAAGCAATCTTAATTTATGGTTTTGGCTGTTGATGCATGAGTATGCTTGCAGAGCATAGCATCATGTCATTAATGGCAAATATTAACTATATTATTTAGTGTTAGAGGTATTAGACTCAAGCACTAGGGAAGATTGGCATTTAATGCATTAGTTCTTTGTGTTTACAATTCTGACTTGAATTCCTGATTGTTATTATTCAATGCATAGTAGGAATTATATTGTGATTTGGCTCTTAATTCCGCAATGAATTCATCAACATTGACAATCCAGTACTAATTAATGACAATTCTTTATTTGCAACTGTGTTTGAGTTTAGGTGGTTCACATTTTTTGATTATTATAAACTTTAAAGGTGATAATTTCAACTGAGGACAGCTTTTCATTGTTACGACATTTCTTAGCCTTGCTTTCTGAAAACTCTATGCTTAGCTCAGGGTTTCAATCCTTTAAAAGCCTCTTAGGGGATCCTGCCCATCCCTCACACCCACCTCTTCTTCCTTCTGTCTTCTAGAAGCAAAGTCTTTGGTCTGCTGCTTTGATACAAGCTCTTCTATACAAGGCACCCCCAACACTGTTCCAGAACAAATGATTCAGACATCTGTCACAGATAACAGATAGCTAAGTCAAATATAAAAATTTCTACTCCTGTAATTAATAATGTTTTTTAGGTCTTCTATCAATATGGTACTTGCATCTGGACTCCTAAATATTGACCAATGTGTTGTACTACTTTTAGATGGAGTTGACACACTCAGCCTCATGTTTTAAACCTTCAGGCAGGCAAGAAGTGGAAATCTTTGTAACTGGATGCATTTATTCCTAAAACCTCGGTACAACACACCATCATCTTCCCCGAGTCCTCCCAAGAAAAGATCTCTCTTATCTCTGAAATAAGGAGATGCAGCATCCTTGCCAATAACTCCATAGATGTGCATTTCCCTAGTCAGAGGCAGATGGCTGTGGTTCCCCACACCCACTCACCCCAACTATGGGACTGACCTAGGTGGGCCGTGAGCTCTCATGTACTGACTCGGTTTCCACTGGGGAAATCACGTTCACGCTACTGAGGCTCCACACTGCTAACTTTGTACACAATACATCCTCGATTACTGTCCTCCCCACTCCAAATATTGTTGTGCATGGCAGTTGAAAATTTGCTACCTAAAAGGTATGCCTTTTATTCATGAGTAAAAGTTTGTGTCCACCCACTCCTACATCATGTAGACCTGTGCATTTGAAGTGCTAAAATCAGACTCTAGTATCTACCTCTCAAAGCCCATCGCTGGGAGGGATCAACGCCTTCAACCGCTCGCAGCCCCGGCACCACGAGCACCTCCTCTGGCACACACCAGCGCTCCCGCGCATGAAGCCGCCATTGCTGGCTCTGTCGCCCACGGACAAGGAGCTTGCTGCAAACTCCCCAAAGCCAGGTGGTGACTTGAACTAGAAATAGCCAGCCCCAAACTGTGCTCACCCTGGATCATCCTCTCATGCTGTGTTTCCACCCTAGAAGCCTCCAGGGGAGTTGTGGAGACAGAAATCCCACAGGCTGCTCGCCTGAAATCAGGATTTCAGGTTCTTGTGGGTTGAAAGAGAGTGCAGTGATTAAATGTAGTTTCAAATTCTTCTCTATGCAACAACAAACATACAAAGCTCTTGGGCAGGTAGACATGACCATCTTTAACTGTCTCCCATTTCATTTTATGCCAACTGAGAAGTATCACAAGTAGGGAATGATACTTAGCATTTATGTGGTGACTTTCTCCTGAATAGAACAGGGCTTGTCACGCCTACGCCGTGTAGGTGGAATGTGCAGTGTAGACAGGGGAGTGGTTCTCCAGCATATTGCAGTGAGTGACGCTCACAGCACCTGGGGCAGGCGCTAGGGACAGCGAGGCCTTGTTCTGTGTGGTTTGTGGCAAAGCTGCTTTGGGTTGGGACAGGGGTAATCAGACCGCACGGAGGAGACCAGTGCCACATTTTGCACCCTTCCCAGTCTCCTCACAGCGTGCTCCCAGCCACGCGGCGCAGTGTGCGCGGTTCTCCTGAGGCCAGCAGCCGCAGGGACAGGGGCAGCCGCAGGGACAGGGGCAGCCGCAGGGACAGGGGCAGCCGCAGGGGCAGGGCCGCCGCGAGCAGGGGCGGCACACGTCTGCAGTCCCCGCGTGAGCAAGAGCTGTGGACCACCCTGCCCAGCGGCACATCCGAGGCAGGGCCTGTGTTGGTCCTCGCACTGGGAGATAAGGAGGGCGTGAGGTGACTCTGGGAGAGTTCCCCTTCTTAATCTCTCTCCCTCTCCCCCCACACCCACTTGTGTCCATATCCATGAACCAGACTCCTACGCAGCGACACCCCCACTCACGGACGCCCCGTGTCACATGCACAGCAATTACAAAAGAAAAATCCAGGCAACCCAGGGATACTCTTTTTTCCTCTCTTCTCTCTCATTTTTCCCCTAAAAAGGCCTTTTTTAAAAAATATTAAACCAGGTAAATTTTTACTCAGATATTCAGGTGGCTGGAGAAGACTGACAAGGAAAACAATCACAAAATAAATAATTTTGTTTTCTTTTTTTAAAAAAAGAACATTTTCCTACGCACGTCTCTAACTTGGCAGGCCGCTTTCTTGGACAGGCGGCGCCGCAGGGGGGGCCCGGACGGCTGCAAGGGGCTGGGCGGCGGGCCCTGCCCTGGGCCGGCGGGCAGCGGGCGGGCCAGGCGGGCGGGCCAGGCGGGCGGAGGAGGCGCTGCCTGCGCTGCTCGCCGGGTCCCACGCTGGGACGTTGCCAGGGCCGCTCCGGGCGCAGGCGTGCAGGGGAGCACAGAGCAGGCTGCGTACAAAAGTGAGAACCAACGTGGGATTCACAAAACAAGGACGTTTTAAGAAATCTGGTTAAAAAGAATACAAAAGTGACTCCACCGAGGGGAGGAAGAGCTCCCACCCCTCCCACTTTTGTCCCCTCTTGTTTTCTTGAATGAGAAGAATCCCTTTGAAGGATTTGTGTTTGTTTCGTGGTTTGGCTGGTTCTTTTCCTTAATCTCTTCCCAGGCTCCTCTGGTCCACCTCCGTCCACTTCAGAAAGCACCGACTTCACAGACCTGGGGCTGCTGAGTCGCAGCCTCCCCACGCAAGTGTGTGTGTGTGTGTGTATGCGCGTGTGTGTGTGTGCGCGTGCGTGTGTGTGCGTGTGCACGTGCGTGCGCGCACAAGGGTGCACGTGCGCAGTGGCTGATTCTTTCTCCTCCGCCTGCTTCAGTCCAAGCCTCCAGGTCCCGTCTGCTGAGTGCGGCAAGTCTCATGGGAGTGCCCTGTTGGCACTAAAGTGAGGCCTGGGTTGTCTTCATGTCTCAGGTCCACGGGTCCCTCTCTACCCAGAGCTGGAGCGGGACCCCCATTAGCTACAGAGTTTGCCCGTCTCATACTCCACAGGGTTTGGCAGCTTAGAATTGAAAGCCCTCAGGGAGGACTGGATCCTGCCCACCTCATTGTTGGCCAGCTTGAGCCTATGCCGGAGCAAGCAGGAGAAGAGGTCAAGGCGGACTTTGCCAGGTGGAGAAAGCTGGTTCACCCGGTCCCTGAGCTCAATGAGCTGCAAGAGTGCAGAGTCCTGGGAACCTTGAGTATATGGGTAGTCCAACTGGAGAATTAAGTCCCGGATAGCATCCGGGTCAAAGGGAAGGCTGTAGCCAAACACCTGCAAGGTGTTGATTTTCATGTAGCCCAAATTCTTGGAGGGATCAGTCATTTCTAGGGGCTCGTAGTAGATTGTCTCATTGGAGCTGTCATCCAGGGACTTGATTCGGCTCCGTAGGTAAACATGGACTGTTTCAAAGAAGGTCTTCCACCTGTTCCCCAAGGTGATAGTCCAGTTTTGGCACTGGGCAGCTGCATCCACGTTAGTCCTTTCCCAGTCAGGGAAGCTGCCCTCGTTCACGGGCATGAACCAGCTCTCAGAGTGGCTGCCCCCAAAGGGGTTGACGTAGATGGCCATGACAGGCTCCAGGGTGCTATTCTTGGTGAGGCAGATCTGCAAGGACAAAGCCAACATCACATGCACCAGCCCGGGCTTGTACTTGTTGCTCTTCAGGGTGAGAAGCATGCGCTTCCTCCAGGAAGGGTCAAACCAGCTGCCCAGACGCATGTCATTGCTGATAAAAATGGAGTGTACCTCAATGCGGCTGTCCCGCTTCTGCAGCAGGTACTTCAGCTCCAGGTCCTGCAGGTCTGTCTCCAGCCCAAGGAAGTTCTCCAGGGACTCAGCCACCTCTGGCCGGCACAGCCCTTGGGCCAGCACGTAGCCCGGGTTGCAGCTGCCACAGCGTGTGCTGTTGTCTGGAGCACAGTGGGCACAGGCAGGCCCTTCGCCCAAGGCACATGGGATGGGGCCCTGGCAGGAAGATTGGTCATAGGGGCAGGTGCAGCTGTGGCTCTGTTCCAGGAAGGTGCCAGGGAAGGTGCTTTCTCCACAGTAGAGAAGGGACTGGATTCGGTTCCACCAGTAGGACAAGGACCTTGCAGAGGGGAGGTAAAAATGAAGCAAGAGTCAAAGGAAGCCACGGACTGTCATCATCCCTAAGGGATGCAGGACATTGACTAATAGGCAGGGAAGGCAGTGAGGAAGATAAAAGCCCCACGTTCCCAAACCCTACTGTGCCACTTTGGACTGACAGCACAAAGCTTGAAGCTCTGTGTCCGAGGGATCAGCACCAGAAATATTTGACATCAGACTTGTACTTGAAGCAGCGAGGCTCATCTCTTCCAAGTAGTACCTCATTTCCTTATATCCAAAAGCCTACAGAGGATCTCCAACATCCTTTGTATCAAATCCAAGGTTTTGGCCTTCTAAATAAGATGTCTCTCTAAACATTCCAATTTCTCCCCAATTTTTCTAGCTCAAGGTCTCCACATCCTTTCTATTTTCTCTGCTTCCACCACTCCTCCCCGAGAGCAGAAATTTTCTATGACTGACTTTCTTAAAATTTTAATTTCATCTCTATGCTGCCTCCTCTAAGAGGTGTTACCTGAAGTCTCTTTCAAAAGAACCACTTCAGTCACTGTCCATCACATCACCTTGTTTTTATTTAATCCCCAGCAATTATCAGTACCTGAAATTACTGTGTTTATTTATTGTTTACTTACTTACAGACTGCATCTTTATAAATGCCATGACAGCAGGGACACTGTGTTATTGGCCAACAGATTCTCAGAAATGAGGATTATTTCTAGTGTATGGTAAGCTTTTAACCATTGTGTGTTGAAAAGAAATAAATGAATCCCTCTCAAAACCCCTGTAGGCCTATCCCCGCCACTCCTGCTTCCTGCTTCCCCAGGCCTCAGTTGGAGCTACACCTCTTGGCTGCTGTGAAGGCAGCTCCCTGTGCCCAGAATTCTGTCCCCTTGTGTGGACCAGGCCATTTCCATGCCTTCCTGCACGGTCTGGCCAGGATGTCTTCTCCAAGGAAGCCATCCTCTCAGGTCTTTGCCTCTAGGAGATCATTGCTTTCATTTATGACCCACCACCATCAATCTACGTGGCTGCCACACAGCTATCATGTCCCAGTTTTTATGTTTCTGTATGTTGTTAAATCTTTCCGATTTACTAATACCTCCTGCAGCTTAACAGTAGAGCATGCAATACAGACTTAATAAAAACTTGCTGAATAAATAAATACAGAAGCAAGTGAACAAGTGGATGCCTATGACAATACAGTCCCACTCTAACCCTAAGGGGATGGGGTCTCAGCTTTCACCTCCTGTGATTCAGAGCAGAGTCACTTGTTTGATACAATCTAATGGGTGTATTTCTCATCGTATGCAATTGGTGTATGAGCTTTAACATCATCCCTTTCTTTTCTAAAAGACTTATTAAAATGGAAATGAGTAAATGAGAATTAGAGTATTAGAACTGCATTTGAATCTACTATAATTTGGAAAAAAGTAAATTAGCCTCTCTTTCTGTTTCATCTGTCGATTCAACTCACAATTGGGAATGACACTCGTCAGTGGGTCAACATGACGGGCAGGCTACGTGCTGGTCACCACTCCCAGATCCCAAACCCTGGACGAGGGTCCTCCCTGGCTCAGCAGCTGCCGGGTGGAGCTGAGCTCTGGCTCTCGTGTCCAGGGTGCTCACCTCTCCTTGGGCAGGCGGAAGCGAGGCTGCCGGTGGCAGCGCTTGCACAGGTTGAAGAGCCGGCGGACGACCCGATGGGTCTTCCTGAACAGCACTTGCAAGCTGGCGCCCAGCTGCTGGTAGCGGTGCTGGAGGCTGGTGTCCATGGCCCAGAGCTGGGAGATAGCCGTGGAGTTCAGGAACCGGTCCTCAGGCAGCCTCTTCAGCAGAGCCTGGAATTCTTCTGTGGACGAGAACAGAGGGACTGAGCTCAGGGGAAGCTGGCAGAGCCCTGGGAGAGGCAGGTGGCCCCTCCCAGGCCCAGGCCCTTCCAAGTTACGGCATGAGGAGCAGCCTTCGCATCCACTCTCCCGAGTTCTTTTTTTTTTTAATTAACAGCTTTACTGAAAAATAATTAACAGATCATAAAATATCGCTTTAGGATTTTTTTTTCTTGTTTCTATCCCTATTGTTCTGAATTTCAAAACCATTCTCTGCCACCATCAGAGGGGCCAGAGGCCCTGATTTTGCTAATGATCTTGCATGCACCTCCTTCCCCCGTTATACCTCCTTCTAAGTTGTCCGTGGCACCGTCTCAAGGCCGTCTGCTTCAATAATACCACACGCCCCACTCCTGATGGCAAGTGTGCTCCCAGACTGGCAGATGTGGGCACAGAGAGGGGGGAGCGCCCAGCTCAGGTCCTTTCAGAAACCTTTCCGTCCCTGAGACCAGCCTCTTCCCTCCACATCCTTCTCTCTGACTCTCTGTGATTTTCCCCTCTCTTTTCAGCTTCAACTCTTGACCAGATACCCGTTCTTCCCTGTAGCTAATCTAGAAACAATAGGCTTCCTGGTTCTGAGCTCCTGCTGTGTCTAATTTCCCCTAGAGCTTCCTGGGCACGCCACGCTTTCTGAGCTCGTGTGCAGATCTCTGTCCATTGCTCCGCTGACTCGGGACCCGCAGCCGCTCTGTCTCCTAGTGGAGGTCTACACAGCCCTCATTCAGTCACGGGCAATGCCCCATAGTGCTGATGGCCTGAAATCATGTTACGGAACATATCCCAGTAGCACAGTCCAAAGCATGGGGTTGGAGAGCTGGAATGTGGAATTCTCCATAGCTACCAAATATCGTGTCTAGTACTTGCAATGGCAACCCCTGGGGGCTCCGCCCATTTGATTGCTCATGTACCTGGTTCCTCATCCCCTCAGAAGACTGGACAATCATGCCTCGTAATGGCACCAGCAACCAGCATGTGCACAGCTAAAACATTTAAGCATACAAAACAGTACACAGAACAAAAAGATAAACTCCCACGTGCCTGCCACCCAGTTTTTGCTATTTTGCCATATCGGCTTCAGATTTTTTTTTCTTATTTAGGAAATAAGGCAAACTAAATATACTGCACTGGAAGGCCCTAAGCTTCCCTTCCCTATCTATCCGGATGCAGCCACTCTCTTGGATGTTTTCTTTATATTAGCACATATTATCATGGTTTCTGCAAGTGTATTTATCCATAAAAAATATTATGTTTTGGCTAGCATGTTTGTAAATATTATGTAAATAGTATTAAATATGTGTTCTATTTAATAAATTATTATAGTATTATATATAAACATATAAATAGGTATATAACACATAACTTTTCTCATCTTGCTTTGTTTTATCCAAAATCATGTTTTTGAGATATATCCCTGTAACTATCCTTCATTTAGTGCTGAAATGTGTAAACATACCATGCAGAGTTCTTTATACATTAACTCCATCTACATCATCCCACGTGAGCCTTCCATCCACCCATCACTATCACTTTCCCTCTTTGTAGAAGAAGAAACTGAGGCATTGAGAAGCTGCCTGGCCAATCCAAGGTCATCTAGCTGGTCAGTAATAAGGCAAGAATGCAAAACCAGTTCCTCAGAATCTAGGTGTCCAGGTAACATTGATATTAGTTATCACAGCAACAACCAACAACTAGCCTGTAGTGGGTGCCATCCAGAGTTATTCCACACACTTCACTTATTCAAAAAATATTTATTGTTCACCGTATGTGCAAGTATTGCACTTGGCACTGTGGAATGGTAGCAAACAAGACAGTCCAGGTCTATGCCCTCAATTATGTTTATCTTAGCTTACTAAGTCCTTGAAGCATACCTCTTAGGCAGGCAGTATGTCCATTTACATATATAAAAACCCCAAAGCTTGTGAGACTGAGGGTGGTGCTTGAGGTCACAGACACAGTAAGTGGCCAAGTCAGGATCCCGGTGGAGTTCCCCACCACGTCCTTGCTTCTCTGCACCTCGCAGCCCCGCTCATTGACAGGAGGGAATTCTGGCCAGCTGGCTGCTCACCTGACTCCTCGAACTGCCGGTTGTGAGTGGCCCAGGAGTCCTGGATCTGCAGCAGGCTGTCCTCCATGGCCTGGACATCGGCGTCGGGGCAGTTGCACTCCGGGAAGGTGGGGCTGCACTTGCACCAGCAGTCATTCTCCTTGCAGACGAGCTCCCCCTCAGAGCTGCACGTGATGTAGCTGAGTGCTGCGGCCACAAAGCGCTCACGCAGGTACTCGGGCAGCAGCACCTGCAGGCCTGGGGAAAGGATATGTCAAGGAATCACTGAGCGGAACCGGTGGAGACTCAGTTTCCCACACCCAAGGCTGCAGGGACCCCAGCTGGGGATCTGCTGACTTGTGCATTCTGGGGCCAAGAAAGGTCACCCCAGAGCCTGATCCTGTGAAGCTGATGGGGAGAGAGGGCTACTGCTGCCCCAGTGACAGATGGGGGAGGATCTGAAAATGCAGATGAGGAACATCAAAGCCCAAGGCTTAGCCAAACCCCTCACATCAGCCAAATTGAGAGCGCGCATATCATGAGAACAGGCTTATTGGCTACACATCAGCATTTCTAGGATGGAAACGGGATGATGTTTCAGATAAAAGAAGAGCTTACAGCTCTCATGGGGGAGAAATCAAGGCTTGATGGGCTTTTTTGCTCTGCCTCCTATAGCCATCCTGTTTCTAATTTAACTGAGATTAGCAGTAAGCATCCTAGGGCTTCACTGAATGCTGCACTCCTTGGCCTCCCACACAAGCCCCGATGACCAAAGAGGCTGTCCTGGCTAGGAGGTAGGAACAGGTATTGTGGACACACAGTAGCCAGGCACTATGCCAAGTACTTTTTATATATGATTGTAAGTAACACTCCTGTGCATACTGGGCTTCTTATCGGTGAGGAAATCCAAGTCACAGCATTCATAGAGTCTGGTTGGTGTCAGATCCTGTCCTCGTCCCATGAAGTCATACTGAGTAACTGGGACTGGCTGCCCCATCATATTATTTAACTCTCAGGGAGATTTGAAGGTAGGATGGTGGTCACTGCCCCAAGATCAGTCATGCCTGGATAGATGTGAATGGCTTTAGGCTCTCTTTTCCAACTAGCTTCTAATCTTGGATATAATGCACTAAATTGCTCCAAGCTTCAGTTTTCTTACCCATCTGTGGTGAATATCAGGTTTGCCTGTAGCAGAAACGTACTCCTAGTTGGTTTCACAGTAAGGCATTGGATGTTTACCAAGGGCTGAGCAAAGGACAGGCATGCCGGGGGACACAACCTGGGCCATGCCGGTCAGCCCTGCAGGAGCCGCCCAGTAGGTACACAGTGGGACCTCGTGCCAAGAGCGTGAGGGATATGAGGACTTCTAGATATGATGAGCTCCTCTTTCCTCAATTGTCTGCCAGCTCTTTATTTTTACACCCTTGACATTGTCCTTGGCAGGAATCAGAGAGCCCAGAGCATATATCCTAGTCTTGCTGGATCTCAAAATATAACTTAACATTGCCAGGAGCAGTATGTGTTTGTTGATCTTACTTGAGGTCTCCAATTCTGAACTGCTCCTAAATTTTCCTTTCTTGGCACTGTGCCCACCAAGGCACTCGAGCAGCCCTCCCCACACTTGTCACATGCTCGCTTTCAACACTCACCAAGACCTTTCCTTCCCTCCCCCACCAACTCCCCTTCCTCACCGGAACATCTCCCATTGCTATAAAGCAACTGCCTGAGAAATGTCTGCATGAGTGACGGGTATAAAATTAAATGGCATAAACCATTCCAAATGAACAACCAGACACTTTGAACTTCGCTCATCTCTACTTTCCAGACACAAACCCAGCCCAACAAGGAACGTAGGGGAAGGGGGACACTAATTGCCTTAGGTGGCTCTAAATAAAGGAGTTATTTACTCCTCTTTATATATATTTCTTGATTTCTAAAGTATTGCTGGGTTGCATCTGAGTCAGGTTGCCTGGAATTTGTAATTGTAGATCCTGGATGAGGGCTATTGATTTTGTAATGTTGAGACAATAATATCTTAAACAGAGTCCAATTCAGTTAGGCCTTAAGACAAGCAAACTTTTCCCACTGGATCAGTATGCGCAGTCCTGCCCTGGGGTGCTCGGGGACAGGGAGCCAGAGACACACCCTCCCCTTAGTTCCTGACCTCCAGACCCAATTAGGTTTCCTTTCCTTTTGCTTTCCCAGTTTTGCTTGTTCTGTTTCCAATCAAAAGGCTCCAATTCTTCTCAAACTCAGTCCTGGCTTGAGCTCTCCCATGGAAGACCACAGACTAATAACAGAAAGCAGGGCCACTCTCAGGTGGTGTCACAGCAGCCAATGGCCTACAGTCTGCACAGCTCTTAACTGAGCCAGAGATGGCTGTCCTGTAACCACTCTGCAAAAGCCAGCTGTTCCTCAATGTGTCTTTAGGATAAAGTAGAGGGGCTTTTGGACAACAACGGAGTTCGTTGAACTATGCCGAAGCTTATAAGGATGGATGTGCTGTTTCTTATAGGGTAGTGACAGAGATCTCGAGAAGGGCTATGAAGTGGGAGGCTTCAGGTGTCCAGAGACATGAGCAATGGGCCTTGGGAGTAGGGCAAACCAGATCAGGGGCTGCATTGAAAGAATGATGGAGCTTGCTCAGTACAGGTCCCAGAACTTGTCTTAAGATGGGCCACTCCAGTGGGGCAGGCAGGAATTTTTCCTGCTCTTTAGTGAACTGGGTTCCACCAGGTGTGAAAGGTATGAAAACCAGCACGATGCTGCTTACCTAGTAACTGCACTTTGTTCTCTGGACTCTGCACCAGGACAGAGCTGACTGAGTCCAGATTGTCATAGTTGCTGCAGCCCAGAGGACCAGTCCTGGTCTCTGTGACCTAGAGAAGGAAAGAGAAGGGTGTGGATTTAGATAACAAGCACGGGATTTGTCCTTCTCTTCTCCAGTTGTCCAATCTCAGGCTCCATATCCTGTTTACGACCAGGCAAAAATGACAGGTGCCTTTTTCTACCCCAAGAACATAAAGTCACTTTGCTTCCTTGTCCTGAGACAGTTAGTATCTGTTACATGGCGCTCCAGCAGCAGGTGTACATAAGTGGGAGCCCTTCAGAGAGAGCTGGAGGGAATTTATGTCTCAGAAGAGAAAATTCATGTAAGCAGAGAAACCTGGGAAAGGAGTGAGACCTTTAAGCCAGAATCGCCCTTTCTCCTCCCCGAGAGGCAGGCGGGCCATCTGTGGTCCCCGTCAGCCTGCTCGAGAGCCCAGCTGCATCCACTCGATGTGGTGCTCACGGCTTAGGGACCCTGGAGATGAAACGCACTGGAGAAATATGAGTTATGAGTATTAGTATTAGTATGAACCATTTAGGTCCCACCTCGGCACTGAGACGTCCTCAGAGAAAATCAGCCGTGGGCTTACTGCATATTTTAATAAGTATATTAAATATACATAAACTCTTATAGCCATGTAATATTCCAAAACATCATAGAGTCATTTTAAAATATTATAAAGTTGGCCCATCAGTTTTCCCTAATGTTTAAAGTATAAGATGAAAAATGTGGAGCTTTAAATGCTCTAAAAAAATTATGTAATAAGAATGATGGGGACCCAAGGCCCTTCCTTCTCAGGATCTCTGCAGGCTTTGCCAACAATCAATCAACCAATCAACAAGTATTTATTGAGCAGCCACTGTTCAATTCCATACAATTCATCAAACATTCCTAGAGTGCCTTTCCCGGAGTTCCCCGGGGAAATCCACCCTGATACTCTGACCTCCTCTTCTGGCTGCAGGCCCCTCTGCTTTGCAGCAGGCACAGGGGTTGTAGTTTCACATCTTTTCTGCAAGTACGTGATCCATATCTGGGTCTCACATACCACAGCTCCAGAGAGGGAAGCTCGTATTTATCTTGTGCACCGTGTTGTTGACAGCTGTTAGCACAGTGTCTGGCACATAGTAGGGACCCAATAACGAAGAGAAGGTATGAGTAATATGTTCCAGGCTTTGCTGGGTTGGGAGGCATGCCCGAAGATGAACAAGTTGTGCACTGTGTTCTCTAAGAAGAGGCCACAACCTCTGGGGAAGGCAGGCACATACACGTCTGAGCGACAGACATCCAAGTCACAGCAGAAGCATGTGTCACAGTGAGCTCTGACGAAGCACAGTTCTAAGCAAAGAGCAGCAAAGGGGGAAGCAGCAGAGGAAGCGCTGTTTGCGCCGGTCCCTTGGGAGACGCAGGGCGTGGGCAGGCGGGAGGGACAGAAAGGTACTATGAGGAAAAGAAGTGGCAGCGTGATCTGCAGCACAAGGGTTGGGGAGTGCTCGGTGCCTGTGTCCAGCACGCCGCTCGTGACCACGGGGATGCTAAAGTGTAAGTGACATCCTCAAAGGGATTTTAGTAGACCTGGGCTTAAAAAACACACGTGGAACAGGGAAATCGAGTGAGAGGCGGTGCGATGTGGGCCAAGTGCACAGTTAAGAGAGAGCCGGGAGAGATCCTCCCATCTTGAAACGGTCAGAGAAGGCGTAATGGATGAGGCGAGTCATGAATGGGTTTGGGGAGATGCACAGGGGTTGGAAGAAAGGGGGAGGGCTGCAGAAAGAAAGGTAACTCGAAGACCCAGGGCCGCAGCAGACACGGACTCAGCCCGGACGAGAGCGGGCCGCCCACAGCGGGAGCAGGAGCGGCTTCTCTCCGGACTCCAGTTCTTCCCCCAAGTCGCCCGTGCGGTCACAGGAGCTCTCTGGGACAAATCTCTTTACCGTCACTCTCCAAAGGAGGAAACCAAGGCTCGAGTTTCAGTGCCCGAGGCCGCAGAGCTGTGGAGTGGCAGGAGCAGGCCTCTAACCTCAGGGTCCTCAGGCTGCTGCTCAGCACCTTTCTGTCTCCTCAGACGCCCCTGGCGCCGCGTGCCGCCCTCTACATCCGTGGCTCTGCAAAACAAGCGCTCTAAAGAGCCGTCCGCCCAGCGAATTCCAGGGGCTTGTCCTCTCCTCGGAGTGCTAACATTGGGCAAAACAAACTGTGTTGGTTTGAGATCAATTTTATTATCCCTATAACACGGACTAGGAAACCAAAGCCCACACAAGTTAAACGGGCTATTCAAGGTCACAGAGTCAGCTGCAGGGCTAGGATTCAGGTGACTCGTTCACTCTTTTTTCACTCATCTATTCGTTTAACAAGTACTCGAGGAGCATTCGGAACTCCCCGATGCCTAGACACAGTCATCACCAGCAGGAGCTGGCAGGCGAGAGGAGCGCGTCCGCGAGGCCCAGTGCTCCGCCTCCCGCACACGCGGGCTCGCTGCTGGGCGCGCCTCTTCGCTGAGGGAATGGGGACTGGCCGGCCGTCAGGCAGGGCTGGGAAGCAGAGCCTGCCTCATTTCAAGGTCAAGTCTTCTCTCTGTGTGCTGTGACAGTCCCCATGGCTGAGAACTGGCCCGGCTGTTGTGGGACGCTTGCTCCTCTTGCCTGAAGCGGGCTGAGGGCGGCGGCGGGAAGTGGGCGTAGTATCTGGAGACTTTCTGGCCCTGCCGCAGGTACGCTGGTCGTGGGACTGTCACTGAGTGCTTCACCGCCTTTTCTACGCACTCAGCCCTGACGTGGTCACTCACCCACCAGGCCCGGGCAGGCAGAGCTAACAAGCCTCACGCAGGAATAGGATGCGACCCAAAGAGGAGGCCAGGTGGGAGGAAAGCCACAGGAGGAGCGTTCCTTCCCTCCCCTCAGCGCCACCCCTGTTCTCGCCTACCGCCAGCCCACCTGCTTCCCCACCACCCCCACCTTGTTCGTCGTTCGGGGCTGTCCTTGGTGCTATTTTCTAACTTCACTCTGCTGTTTCTGAAGGTTGCTTCCACAAGAGGACAATCAATTAGGTAAGTCACTGAAAGGGTGTGAGTAGCTTCACTTTGTCAATTGTGGCAAAAGGATGGGAGTGAAGACAGACAAAGGCTGTGACCCACGTGCACCTCCTATCAGAAGGAGGGACCCAGAGCCAGGTGTCCCCGAGTGAGGAAGGCCCACTCGGGTTTCACCAGGTCGCGATGTCACAGCTCTTTCCATTGACATTCTGCTCTGAGACCATCTCTCGCCTTCCTAGAGAGGAAAGGAGGGGAAAGAATGGAAGGACCTGAACAGGGTCCCCCTGCAGACATGGCCTGAGTGCTGACTTGAGCAAGCAGGATGGCCTGAGACGCCCCCTCTCTTTGCCCCAAAGTGATGAAAGCCCCAGAGTCTCTGGAGGTGTCGAGAGAGTCCGGCGCCTTTCTCTGTAGCGAGGCAGACAGCTGCGGCAGGTTATAAAGAGGGCTTGCGGAGGTCATGGAAAGTGCGGTTCACTCCAGCACACAGTTCAAAGAGTGCCTCAGATAAGCCTTCAGAAAGGGAAAATAATTGTGTGCTAATTGGTCTGTTGACAGAGCCCATCCTGCCTTCAGAAAGCCCTGATGGATCTCAGGTTCATTAGCACATCCAATTTTCCATAAATACCAGATCATGCAAACCCTCATTCCAGAGAGCCACTCTCCCCTTGTCCCTCCACGGCCTGTCCTACCGAGGGCCACCTGCAACACGGAGGGCGGAGTAGAACGGGCTTCTCGTTGTGAGTGAGGGCGGTGGGAGAGCAGAGCTGACGGTATGTGCTTCGCAGAGCTGCAGGCTGAATCCCTGGCAGTGAGGGACTGCACCAGTCGGAAGGATGCGTTATGAGGAGCACTCTCCTGTGCCTCGTGGGGTCCGCCTGAACTTGTGAGTGAGCTCCCTGCAGTCGGCGAGTGAGCATGCCCAGCCCTCGCCGCCAAGCCCGTCCTCAGCCGTGGACTGTGTGGAGGGTGAGCTGTAACAAGGACAGACCCCTTCCTCCTTGTGGCCCTGATCCCTCTGGAGAACCGTGGACAGGATGACAGGATGACTACACACACAGCCCTTCACAGTCTGCAAAGGGCTTTCCTGTGGGCCGCACCATTTGGTGGCCCAGCCCTACAGCAGAGTCAGGGGTGACACTCACAGTGCGCATCAGCCGGTGGAACGGGGAGCACTGACTCGTCAGAGGAGATGCTGGCCTTAGTGCCAGGCAGGGCTCCGAGGCCTCCCGGGGAGTGCTCACCCTTTGGTTGCAATCAAAGGAAAGTCTGGGGCTCTGGGAGGAGCAGAGGTGGCTGGGGTCACACAGGGGTTGGAGCGAAGACTATTTACCAGCTGCATGGACGTGTTTCAGCATTTTAAAGACTGGTGTCCCCATATCAGCTGAATGTAAGCCCTGTGTACAGGTGAGTCAACTAGTTGGTAACTCATGTCATGGCAGAGAGAAATGGAGTTCAATGACTTCTCAAGGTCAAAGAAATAGCAAGCAGCAAGGCTAAAACCGAATCCCAAGTCTTCTTCCTTGAGTGAGTTTGTTTCCCACTAACCATGTGGTCTGCCTTCACTCTCAAGCATTTTGTTAAGTGTCTCGCCACCTGCCAGACGCTCTGAAGGGACCTGGGGCTGTGTGTTGCTGCAGAGTCCCTACTGCTTTAAAATGCGACAAGCCCCATAATAGAGGTGTGTGCTGATCAGGGCAGACCTTGCAACAGAGGGGGATGTTCAGGGGCCTTGGAGGAAGGCCATCAGGTAAACCAGAGGGCGTATCTCCATGTTAGTGCAAGGAAGTTGCTAAGAGGGAGTTACAGGTACCACGCAGCTGCTCACAGAAACAAAGCAAGCAGGCAAGCTGGAGGACTGTTCCTCACTAAGGCAGAGCAGGTGAGCAGAGCCCCAGCCCGCCCACCGCCACCAGGAGTCACGACTGTGCTCCCACCTAAGGGGGCGCCGGCAACACCTGCAGCACTAAGCTGACACGTACTGTGCACACTTGCACGTGCTTGCACACGCGTTGAGCGGA